CCCAACAGCATCTCTCATTGTTTATTTGCCGACATGGATCATTATAATGAAGTTTGACCGGCAACTCAGAATCCTTCTTTTCATGAAAAGACTTGTCAATCTACAAAAAAAACAATGATAAATGTACATCGATAGAGCACAACAAATATGGTAAATGGAAGCTCTATTATCATAAGTTTATGGATGTTTTTTTTTACATTAAAACACAGAACAATGCAATGCATAATTCAAATCAGAGAAAAACCTGTTAAAAATCAATACAGAAAATTCCATTATGTTACATTGGGGTCTATTTTTACTGAACTTTCCTAAAGTGTATGTGAATAAAATTCTTAAAGAAAATCTGTTTGTCAAAAGCAATTATATCTCTGCAGAAAACTTGGATTAAACAACTTGATTCATATGGATTTCTTTTGCAATGTCTATTCGTAGCTTGAAAATGATGATTACATAGACGTCAGATGGATGAACAATCTTTATTTGTGTTCCAAAAGTGAACAAAAGTCTTACGTGTTTGGACCAGCAAGAGGGTGAGTAAATAATGACAGAATTTTTGGGTGAACTAAGCCTTTAAAGACAGGGATCCAAAAATATTTAATCATCAGTTCCATCAATTTACAATACTGTGGACAATTTGAAATGATTAATGAGAGAGTATGCTAAAATCCATTCACTGGAGAGAGAGGGGGTAGAAAAATAGAGAGAGGCATGTCACCTAGTCATATCCACTGGTGTGAAAATGAAGTCTGTTAAAAATCTGATTTTTGAAAAAAAAATGGCAAGGACTTGGACATTAGACAGCACCCCTCCCTGCTATTTTGGAACGACAGAGAACATTAGAGAGCCCTGATGGAAGGTTTGAGACAAACACCGCAGGAGGTGATACAGTGAGCATGCACATGCTTTCATGAGCGGAAAAATCAAAATGTCAAGCTTTGTGGCATATGCCTCTGCAGACGACAGGCATGAAAGTGGCAGCGCTTAGAGGAAGCGAATATCGTACCCATTCCTCTTTCTATTGCAGACAGATGGTTGAGGAACTTCCCATTTAACTGCGAAAACAGAACTAACCCAAAACACCTCGCTTTTTACACCATATGCTGTATAGTTTCAATGCATCATAAGTGTGACTCATTTCATCCTCTTACTATTGCAGTTAAACGGATAGTAGGCGTACACTCCAAAATTAAATTTCCGTCATCATTTATTCCCTTCTCATGTTGTTCTAAATTACTTTTTTCCTTCCGAAGAACATAAGAGATATTAGACAGCTTGACAATCTCAGTCCCCATTCACTTTCACTGTAATGAAAGTCCCTTATATTCTGCCTAACATCTCTCTTTGTGTTTCACAGAGGAAAGAAAGTAATACAGCTTTCAAACAACATGTCAATGAGCATATTTTCATTACTGTACTCATTTGAATTTTGGGGGAGCTATCCCTTTAACCCCTTAACTGTCACCGTCCCACTAGCAGGATGCCTAAGTTTTCTTCAATATATTACAATTAAATCCTAATCTAATCATGACAAACTATATATCGTTGGAAAGGTCTAAGACTCCTAAATAGATAGTTTCCCACTGTTTGTTGTTCAAAATTATGTAGGAGCAGTAATAGATTAATTTATGACAAGAGTGCACCTCAAAATATATACACCACAACAGGAGCTCTGACCTTTGTCACAAAAATTCTATTCCGTTTCCTTTTTTTCCTATCACATGTTTTAGTAATCATCATATATTATTATCATCATATAATATTATATTATAATCATCATTATTATTATATAATTTGAAAGCTTAAAATCTCAAAATTCATCCTGTGAAAACCGTTTTGAAATCGGACATTGCGTTACCATAGATATGAGCCTTAAAATCTTTTAGCGGGCTCCTCCCCAGTAGTGCAGGGTGTCATATTACAAAATGTATTACAGTCTTTTGGAATCAAAACGTTTTAGAATCTTGACAGGGGCGCGGGAAGATGTTTTCGGGTTGGGGGTGCTGTGTGTGTCCGTGTTGGGGGTTTGGGGCTGGTTCACTTACGTCGGTGCTCGTGCTCGTGCTGGTGTTGTTTGGATGCCGATTTTGGAAAGTTTTTGCTGGGATGGGCATTTTAAAAAATTTGGAAATTCGCTTTTGCGCCATTACCTCCTCGTATTAAAGTTAATCTTGTTCGCATTCTGTACAGTTCATGTCTGATACCACACGCTAGCGTCACGTGTTCATGAGGATTAGGCTTATCATCCCATATAGAAAACATCACAAGTAAAATTAATCATGTTTATAAAGATAAACATGGGTTTATTATAGCCCACTTACAATTTACATTTCAGAGATCATTACAAATAAATTATTAAATGCTAAACCTGAATAAATTTAAATGAACAAACTTGGCTGTATAGTTTCAATGCATCATAAGTGTGACTCATTTCATCCTCTTACTATTGCAGTTAAACGGATAGTAGGCGTACACTCCAAAATTAAATTTCCGTCATCATTTATTCCCTTCTCATGTTGTTCTAAATTACTTTTTTCCTTCCGAAGAACATAAGAGATATTAGACAGCTTGACAATCTCAGTCCCCATTCACTTTCACTGTAATGAAAGTCCCTTATATTCTGCCTAACATCTCTCTTTGTGTTTCACAGAGGAAAGAAAGTAATACAGCTTTCAAACAACATGTCAATGAGCATATTTTCATTACTGTACTCATTTGAATTTTGGGGGAGCTATCCCTTTAACCCCTTAACTGTCACCGTCCCACTAGCAGGATGCCTAAGTTTTCTTCAATATATTACAATTAAATCCTAATCTAATCATGACAAACTATATATCGTTGGAAAGGTCTAAGACTCCTAAATAGATAGTTTCCCACTGTTTGTTGTTCAAAATTATGTAGGAGCAGTAATAGATTAATTTATGACAAGAGTGCACCTCAAAATATATACACCACAACAGGAGCTCTGACCTTTGTCACAAAAATTCTATTCCGTTTCCTTTTTTTCCTATCACATGTTTTAGTAATCATCATATATTATTATCATCATATAATATTATATTATAATCATCATTATTATTATATAATTTGAAAGCTTAAAATCTCAAAATTCATCCTGTGAAAACCGTTTTGAAATCGGACATTGCGTTACCATAGATATGAGCCTTAAAATCTTTTAGCGGGCTCCTCCCCAGTAGTGCAGGGTGTCATATTACAAAATGTATTACAGTCTTTTGGAATCAAAACGTTTTAGAATCTTGACAGGGGCGCGGGAAGATGTTTTCGGGTTGGGGGTGCTGTGTGTGTCCGTGTTGGGGGTTTGGGGCTGGTTCACTTACGTCGGTGCTCGTGCTCGTGCTGGTGTTGTTTGGATGCCGATTTTGGAAAGTTTTTGCTGGGATGGGCATTTTAAAAAATTTGGAAATTCGCTTTTGCGCCATTACCTCCTCGTATTAAAGTTAATCTTGTTCGCATTCTGTACAGTTCATGTCTGATACCACACGCTAGCGTCACGTGTTCATGAGGATTAGGCTTATCATCCCATATAGAAAACATCACAAGTAAAATTAATCATGTTTATAAAGATAAACATGGGTTTATTATAGCCCACTTACAATTTACATTTCAGAGATCATTACAAATAAATTATTAAATGCTAAACCTGAATAAATTTAAATGAACAAACTTGGCATTGCATTTGCAACCATGCTGCAGCACCCCTACTTCCCGCGTCCCTGAATCTTGACAAAATACATATCGTCGGAAAGGTCTGAGTCTAAAGATTCCATATTTGGTATTTTGTGATAGGAGTAATACTGAGAGAGAAATGTATACATTTGACACAGAAAAATGCATCAAAAAATTAAATGGGGTTAGGGTAGCACCTGGTGGCTGTTTGTGGTATAACACCTAAACAAAATTGCATAGTAACCTCAATTTTTTTTTATCAACTTCAAATTTGGAACACAACTTGGGCGATAAAACAGTATCGATATTTATCGACGGTACACCTTCTTCGATAACGATAGAAAAAAATGTTCAATATGGCGCACGATAGGGCTGCACGATTAATCGAATGCGACTGTCATGCGCATTTTGTTAGTAATATAAATTTTTATATTAAATTAAATAAAAATAGTACAGTACATCTTCTTTACAGTAAATTTAAACTTCTATAACTTTTTTACTTTCATTTTTAAAAAATGATTTCACTTCTGCAATAATCTGCTGATAAGTCTTCTTTAAAAAAAAAAAAAAACTTTCTTTAACCTGAGGTCTGTATTCAAAAGCATTCATAAATTATAACAATTCTCAAAGTTTGAATAGTGCAATAGTCAATGTTCAAAAGGAGGGGGGGGGCTGTGAGTTAAGAAGAGGTTAAATTGCAGCTTCGGGCAAGTGAGCCCTGATATTGTGCTCGGTATTCAGATATTTATATTGCAGGTCGAACCAAATGCTCTTAAACTATTTCCAGCCGAGTTAACCCAGGGAGGAAATTACTTTCATAGAGGCATTTGTTGCTTTTGTTTGTGACCCAGTTAAATTCACTGTAATAACAGGGCACTGTACACGAAAATCGCGCTCACCATGTTATGTATGCCTTTATTATCAAACACATACCATGCATAAGACTTTTAAAAGCCAGAAAGAATCAATTACTTGAATAAAGTCGACGCACGACGAAATTCAAGTCGCTCAGCTAGTGCAGCGTAGCGACGCTTTGCATGAAAGACCTGCTGCAAGAGCTCTCAATGACACATTGCTCATTCAGGTGAGAGAACAATACAGCGCATTTGATTACGTAGCTGCCGCAGACCGCTCATTATTACCCCCGTATGCGGTTTCAATCAAACTCAACGGACAGCTTTACAGTTAAGTAGCACACCGCATCTGAGCGCCGAAAGACGCGCCTATTCACTGCTCCACATCTGTCAAGATGCTATCAATGCGACTACCTGTCAGCCTAGCGATTGTATTGTCACTTAAATAGAGAGCGCCAATACCTGTTGACTCCTCCTACCGCTGTGTTGGTTGGTGGAAGTTGAAGCCCGAGACGCTTTAATTTCTCTCCCGAATGTGGTTGTTCTCTGCCGGTGAGCTGTTCGGCGGAACGCGGAGGAGTTTCGCCTCGGCGGGTGGTAAATGTCCTCACCGACAGTTCAGCGAAGCGAGAAAACTGCTCTAGCCTACGTTCGCTGGGCGGCGGAGGAATGATGCACTGCACAGAGCAGACAAGCAGCCATTGCGGTCACGTGTGAGCTGGTGAAACCGAACACCGGCCAGCCTACGCAGCCGTCTCCTCCCATTCTCCCCTTGCGCGCGCGGTGTCACTTCAGGGCACGATACCACTGAACATAAACTCAGCTGGTGCCTGCCTTTATGTAATCGCAGCGAGTTGTGCAGGAAGTTTAGTGCTTTTGCATTTTGGCAAAGCTATGTTTCAGGTCACTGCTGGCTAGAACAACATTTATAGACATCATCTAGAAGCTCTTGCAGAATTATGCAGTAAAACTGAAAAGATAGGCCTACTTGAAGAACCATTTGTGACCCTGAACCGCAAAACCAGTCATTAGGGTACATTGGTTTAAATTGAGATTTATACATCATCTGAATAAATAAGCTTTCCATTGATGTTAGGATAGAACAATATTTGGTCGACATACAACTATTTGAAAATCTGAGTGTGCAACAAATTTAAATATTGAGAAAATCGCCTTTAAAATTGTCCAAATGAAGTCCTTAGCAATGCATATTACTAATCAAAAATTAAGTTTTGATATATTTACAGTTGGAAATGTACAAAATATCTTCATGGAACATGATCTTTAATATCCTAATGATTTTTTGGCATTAAAGAAAAAAACGCTCATTTTTGATCATTTGTTAGCTATTGTTACAAATACAGTATACCCCTGCAACTTAAGACTGGTTTTGTGGTCCAGGGTCACATCTGAGGTTCACTGACAGAACTCAAATTTATGTGGGTCAGAAACATGGTAAAGAGACATATGTGTCATGTTCCTGACAACCTCGAGAACTGCCAAAATGTTTACATTGGATGTAGGCAAATAAAAACCTGCTGCATTTAAATGTAACGATTTGTGCTGTGGGTTTGAATATGAGTGAATGATAAAACTGCAGAAGAAATGATCACACCTATGATTATCAAAGGAAAAAATAGCATGTAATTGGACTGACGAGGTTTGTCTATATCAGAGGTTCTCAACCAGGGGACCAGGGCCCACTAGGGGGCCTCAAGATGATTTTAAAATGAACCAAAACAATCAAAGGTGCAGTATTTCTTGTTTTCTGTTTTGAAAAAGCCTTAAAGTTTCTAGACCTGAAAATGTCATGTTAATTAAATACAATTGCATGGGCATTTTTTTTAATAATGAATTTACTTTTTTTTCTAGATATGCCAAGCTCTTAAATATTTTGTGGGTTAGAAATTGTGAGTAAAAAATATTTTTTTAAATCTTTGTTCTTAAATATTGTATCTGGCATTAGAGTAAAAAAGGTTGAGAACCACTGGTCTATTGACATGAAGATCTTAATCTGAGTAATTCCTTATTATTTTTGGCAATAATCAGACTACTTTTGTATACACGTAAATGTAGCCAGTGAAACTGTCTACACTGGAAACGTCAATGGCAGTGATTCGACACATTCAGTTGACCGACATGTATGAAATATTTTGCACCGTGCTCTAGTTGCTATTTGAATTTATTACTATGATAATTCCTCTTTATTATATATGTATTAAATAACATTTGGTCCTTGGAAAAAGTAACTCATGTAAATTTTGTAGGTCTTGTAAACTCCTATCTATCTAAAATAAAAGTGTATTGTTAAAACTATGATATAGTTTAAACAGCACCATTTTAATGGAATAGGGGTATGAAGAGCAAAATGGAATCCATAAATTCCTGCAAGAACTCTATAAACACGATCAACAGTTCCTCCAGTAACACTAAATCATATGGGATAGGCTTTGAAACAAATAGAGGAAATATATTAAAGTTCCTTGAGTGCACAGTAGAATATTTGAGCCGTCATAAGGTGCCTAGAAGTTCCACCAGTGTGCAAATCTGAAAAAGCCCCTAAATGGAGCTTTAAGTATCTTTTCATTTTTGCAGTGCATAATATGGTAGTAGAGCACTCCAAAAGGCTTCAAGCTACATTTGCATTGCTGTCCTTTGTGGTCTCAGAACAGATGTGTCAACATAGTGATGTGCACTGTGTGAAAAACAACGGCAAGCACCATTGATCTTGTGATGATGCCTTGAATTTACACAAGCTCTGAACATCCACAATCTTACAGTATATGACCTTTCACCACTTTACTGTGATGACAAGGACACTGTATCAATGTTGCAAAAGGTCTTCTTTTGCAACAAAGAATTTCAAACAGAAGAGAAGCCATCCACAGTGAAACACCAATTAAACAGGCCACGAAAGAAGAAAAATCAAGCCAGATTGTTGGACTAAGTAGGTTGGGAGACCAGCAAAGACAGCAGGGAAGTGTCGTCAGTTTGTCTCCTCTCATCTTGTTTACATGAGCTATTTCTAGGAGCAGCCTTTGCCTCTACTTGTTTGCTACTCGTCATTGTGTACAATATTACTGCCCGCTCTGAGTGACCCCTCTTGGTATTCTTGCAGAGTGTGTTTGCAAATAGTACAACTGCTGAAAGAATGCCAAGACCTTTTGCCTATATGGCCCATCACCTTGCAAATGAGGGAACGTCCCATTAACACAAGAGGAAAAATAAACTATCCTTTAGATGGAGTCATGTCACATGTGGTTTGCTTGGCCTAAGGGCTTCAATGGCTGTTCTAATGACTCATAATCCCTTTCTTCAAAAGTAAGACATTTGGGGGGAAATCAATTTTTTCTTGATCCTACATTTAGAAACACATCACATGTCTAAGGTTATATGGAGGCTTTAGCGTGCTCATAATCAGACAGGACAATGAAAAAATGGATTTCAGTTTTGGCAAAGTCTTTAGCCCTAATTATGCAAAACATTATGGTTACAGCCTTGGTTAGATGTTTTGCAGCTTTTATTGATGTTACTTCATGAATTCTTCAGAAGTATAGTGGAACTGAGTGGTGACGCGTATGACGTCACGTGACCATTTCAATAAACAGGTGCCTTCAACCATTGTCTAGATTTTTGACTTCAGGTCTTTATCAAGAAATGTCTTAAGATCCCTGTTTTAAATGGTCACTTTAAATGGCTTCACCATTGTTCAGCACATAAAATTGAGCGTCGCATTTTAAACCTAGTTTATACAAACATGTGTATATTATCATTTTAATGTAATTACTGTACATATGTACCTAAAGATGCCTACAAAGACAAATATGCCTTAAATTGATCAAAAATGACAAAGACTCTACAAACATATTAAGCAGCATTATTAACAAAGACTATGGATATACAAAGACTCCGATATACTGTTCACTCCTATTACTTATTAACGGGAGAAACTGCAGCGTGCAATATGGTGGAATAATAAAAATAAAAAAAAGTTTTGATTATAGTATGAACCTCATGTTGAAGACCACATATCTAAAGTAATACATTCTTGAAAGATTTAGCTTTAATAAACAGCCTTGCATACAATTGATAAGAGTGTTACACTGAAATGATCTGTGAAATGATCTATGAAAGCACTGGTCTGATTTTGGCTAATATTTCCGTCCTGAATCTGTTCAGCACGTAAGAATCGTGAAATTAAGTGATCAGCCCTGAAATGAAATTTACCGGGCCTGTTTGGGTTAAGTGAGCTTGTCATTTTTGTCATTGTGTAATTGCACAAGGTTTAATTTGTATGGCCTTTGTATCCTATCTAGAGCGAACACCTAAAACCCCTCTGTGTTTTGACGGGTCACAAGACTTGACCAGAGGAAATGAGCTGGGAACGCAAGCCTGTGAAGATCCTATCAGAGGGTGGGAAAGAGCTAGCGCCGTTTAGCATCCCACCACTTCAAAGAGGACAGCCTTACTACTGATCCACACACACACTGGTACACAAAGGCAGGCACAGATAGTCACGGATCTCCAAACCAGTACAGTCTTCTCTGCCATCCTCGCACCATCTCATCTAGAGCCTTTAAAAAGCTATAACAAGTTTCATTTTCTGAAATGCACTCTTTGAAAGCTTCCAGCCCTGTATAGCAAAATCTGCTTCATGGGATTTAGCCTGTCTGAAAGCATGTGGTAAGCCTTGTGGAATGTTTTAAATGACTCCCAGATGCGGGCAGTGAACGTACTTAACCCTTTAGCATCTATAAGCAGAGCAGTCAGGTTTACTTTTATTTTAAGTGCATGTGTTAGCGCACTTTTATGTCTCCTTTATTTTCTTTACCAACCGTCAGTGATTGTAAGGGCTGTTTCAAATCTTTGTCTGCTCTCTTTGATAACCTTAAATATATGTTAACAATACAGTCATTGTATTCCATAGTGCTTATAGAAAAAAGTAATATAAAACATGAAAAATTATGCTGAATTTTTCATTTATCAATCAATAGCAAATTAAGCCAGGCATACAGACTGTTTAGTCACCGTAATACTTAACAGTTGTTGTTATTGATTTTATGACAATAATTATTCCTCTTTTATTAGACTATTTGTGCCATTTATTAGCTCTCAAACATGTCTAGAGTTGTTTTATTGGAGTATCAACACCATTCATATGTGAGTACTAGAGCTCAAGTATGATTGTTGGTGCCTTCGGTTCAGCGAGAGGAAGTCTCGTGTTTGTAAATCTGCTGCTTGGGAGGGCGATCATAGCGAAATGACTGATATCCTTTAAAGAAACGAACTCGATTGCCCTTTCTCTCTGCAACCCTCTGCCTCCCTCCCTTTCTGCACTCATTCGCCTGCCAGAACAAAGCCATAGAATGAAGTCCATTAGGCGGACTGATAACAATAGACAGAACTAAGTGAGTGGTGAAAAAAGGCAGAATTTAGGTCGAAGGTTCTGCCATAAGACGAGGCAAGTAGAATTACTGAGACGTATTCTGAGGAGAGCAGAAAGAGGTGGGGTAGTTGGTTTTTATGTTATGAGCAGATTTCGTTGGTTTCTTGTAGAGAAACTGGTTGAGTTTTATTTGTATAGGGATTTTCATAGTGCATGTTGTTCTTCGTACCCCCAGATAAGGTAGAAGTCTTACATTTCTAAAGGCTAAACGGACACATTATTCCTCATGTTGACATATTTCTTATTGAAACAGGAAGATAGGGTAGGACATATGGAAGGATTGAAAGTATGTATGGCTTTGCAACGCAGAAGAGGTGAAAGTGTTGGGATAATGGTTGGC